CTGATTGGTTTAAAATTAAAAAGTTCTTTGAAAACGGTTAGGGATAAGTTTTTTATCTGTATATATACAAAACATAAAATATTAAATACATGTAACTCCTACATATTTAGAATTTCATTTCAATAAAATAATGCTTCGAATGGGAGAAGCGATTTGCAAAGTCGATTATGCGGATTGCACCTTTCTGACGTAGATAAAGACGTTGCATGTAATACAGGGTACGGGAAAAGTTCGGAAACTTTTTAATAAAGGATTGTATAACAATTTTATTAGTCGAAAAAAATATAATAACCTAAGAACATCAAAAAATATATACAATTTTAATTATAAAAGTTTATTTTCAAAAATTTCTCCATTTGCTCTGATACAAGCTCTGAGACGCCGCGGGAACTGATCAAGTGCACCATTTTTTTGTCGATTTTGCTCCACGCTTTCACCAAATCGCCCTTCAACGACTCCATCGACTTGTGTGGTTTAGAATAAACCTTTGCCTCTAGAATCCCCAATACGGCATAGGGGGGTGTTGCATTTTAATTAAGAACTTAAGCTTCTTATTGAGAGATTTTGCATTAGGAATTGTGATTATCTGATGCCAAATAGTAATAGCCTGCAATATTTTTTTAATTAACTAGAGGAATGTAGTGGTTTAGAAACCTGTCTAGTAGGGTTGTAATATTTTAAGTAAGAATTTCTGCTTTGTATTGCGCTATATAAAGAGATTATTCATGGGAATGTAAATTTGTAGATGCCAAACACTAATAGTTTGAAAATTAACTTAAGGGATGATATATTTTAGCAGCCTGAATAGGGGAAATGTGATGTTTTAAGTGATAGTTTCAGCTTCTTTTTGCAATATATAATAATACATGTGGGATGTGATATTTTAGGTACTAAATAAATAACACAAATAGTTTGCAATATTTTAAAAACATGCAAATGATTTAAACTCTATGCCTCAGGGAAGAAGAATGGGTGATATTTTAATTATTTATTTTAGCATCTTTATGCAATATATGTATAGATTACGCAGGGGAAATATGATGTTCTAAATACAAAATACTAATAGTTTTCAATATTTTAAAAATTAACTACTGGGATGTAATATTTTAGAAGCCTGCACATGACGGATGTGATATGTTTATAGGGGAGGGGGGGGGGGGGTTGGCTTCGAACGAGTTAAAGTATTCTAAAGATTCAAAAAGATATTTATGCTTGTATTTTTATATTTTAGAACATTAACATTTTACTTAGTTTAATTTACGAATAATTTTTAAGAAAAAGAAATTGGCTTCGAAATATTTTTTACGATAAATGTCAAATTAAGCATTTCGTATAAAGAAACATCAAATATCAAACTGAATGTATAATGATATTTGTACAATATCTATATGCTATGGAAAAGACAAAAAAAATAAAAATTTTTGAGTTTGATTATTTTGGGTTTACTAGTTTGATATGAAAACAACATGTTGGTTATTGTTGCTCTATGCCCACAGCGCTCTAGCCCACAACGCCATCGGAATGCTTTTGCAAATATTTTAATCATTTTGACAACACTTTTTATTTCTCGTTATTTCTTAATATACTTAATACAAAAATGCAATGTATTTAATACAAAAGCTTTAGAACGTGTCGCACAGGATACCGCGAGCATTTCACCAATAATTATAAACCTTGCTTATAATGACAGATTGATAGCGTTGAATTTAACAAGTTTAGAAAAGAGACGAGATTGTGGTGGTTAAATTATTGAGTTAGGTAAATGATTGAGTTAGGTAATAAAATTGAATATATCAATTGGCATAATAAAGTATAATTTTATTTCAATAATATTTAAAAAGCCATATTTAAAAAATCGAACATAAATTGTCTTTAATTATAGTATTTGTCATAAATTCTTTGTGAATCAAGCAGCTCGTTTTTTTTTTCTTGTTGTTTTTTTTTTAATATATATTTGCTGTTTATATAAAAAATATATATTTACAAAGAAACGTTTACATAAAAAAAGTGTTTTATAAAAAAACAAGCTAAGGCACAATGAAGATACGGATGACTGAAGTCACCACATTCTTGTCATGGCGCCCCTATGTGGACTTTACAAGTTAAAAATAAAATAGAATAGTTAAAAATGCTTTGAACATCTCAAATATAATAAAAAGCTTAAAGCTTGCATAAATATTTACATTAAATCAAGAAAGATAGTAATACCAATATAATATTAGTAATAGTCATTTAATTATAATGGCAAACTCTGTTAAATACCAAAATAAGAGACAAATAAAACTAGGAATAATGAAAATCGAATTTCATTTCGATAAAATCAAGAAAATTATTTCATTTTTTTTTACGAACTCAAAGCAATTTATGAGTGACTTTCTGTAAGAATCAGACAGAGTTCAATAGTGAACCTGTTCAAATTTGCTAATTTTTATTATGTTGTTGCTATTCATACTATAAGCTTAACTTTTTAAAATTTTCTTAAAAAATGTTAGTTGGTTCTTTATATATTAGCTGTCAAAGTTTGACTAAATTTTGAAACTCGAAAAAAAAAGCAAATACTTTACAACAAGTATTCTTCTTGATTATTGTTTATTGGCTAGTCTAGAACAAAAAATAATAAAATTGGTAAAAGAAAGTTTTTCTTTGTCTAAATATCATGCTTCAAAATACGCGAAATATGATTTTTTTTTGTCATTTTTGATCTTCGTTTTCATTCAAATAATGACATGATAATGATTAAAGCTCTGGGTTCATTGTAAAAAAACTTGTATTGACCTTTAATCTACCTTATTTATAAAATATACTTATGGGGCTTTGCAATAGTTCAGAAAAAATAACATATAAATATGTATAGATATTTTCTTGGTGCATCTATATTTATTTATAAGCGCTTGAGTTCAGTATGTTTGTTTGTTTTTTATCATATTTTTTGAGTATAATTTTTTTCCCGAATATGTTTCCTGAGCATGATTTTGAGTATGATTATTTTATATTATAATAAATCTCTTTTGCGTATTTATAGTTAGTTTATTTATAAGATTTTTTTACTTTTTTAAAGATATTTTATTTAATGTCTTCAAAAAACATTTCCAACGACATGTGCTGCTGTTTTGAACGGAATAATTGTGGACCTTACAAATGATGACCTACTTCAAATGTAGATGAAATTTTTGAAACAAGCCAACTCACCAACTCACTAAAAATATACAAACACATCTTACCAACATAAAGGTAGACTAATATTATATTAATTTTGTAAAAATTTGTGATTAAATAGATGTGTAACTGTAGCTTGTAAATCAAAACAATTAGTTTTTATTAACTAGTTTTTGAATCAAATTAAAGGTTGTAAAATAAAGAAATTATTTTAAGGTCTTAAAGAGCTATGAGCTAGCAGGTGATTGGAACGAAAAATCTCTAATTGAAAATCGTTTAAACAGAAATTTTAAAAATACAGAGAAAATATGTGCATATTATCGCTACACATTAGAAATAGGATGGAAACAAGGAAAAAAATGTTTCACAAATAATCACAAAGAACAAACAGGATAGAAAACATTATTAGGGCAACCCTCACCAATATCTATAATACGGGAAATATCTTCCTATCATAATTCATACATTCTGATCAGTTCAATTATATGCAATTGTCATACTATTTCAAGACAAGGTAAAAAGAAACAAAAATAGTAACTGAACATAAATCTACATCAACAGCTACTGATATTGATTTTATACCAGATAAGTTTTGACAAAATCAAGAAGAACTTAATACTACAAAAAATGAAATCAGAGAAAATATCACAGCTTGTCTTTGGACAGTCAAATTAAAATGGAAATATAAAATTGCAACACATTCAACTTGATTTGCCCTTTCTGATCCTGAAAACATTAAAATGCAATCATGTAGCATTTTAAATGATTCGGTATTGCTATGAAGGTAATGAGCTGTTTGAAGGTTTAGATGAAGTCAATGAAATAGGAAATAAAAATGAGGTTGGTGATGATGTATTTTATGACATTAAACACATCATCAATAGGCAACATTGCAGAGTATATGAAACACCTCTTAGGAGATGCACAACAGAAAAAGGCAAAGAATGATGCATATAAATAACTAGATGACTAAACATCATTTTGGTT